TAGCCAACATGACCTGCATCCCCAGATATCTTCCAGAAGTCACAGTCGGTGCTCATGAGTTTGATGCTGCCTACTATGCTTTCAAATCGGTATGTGCCCTCCACTGAAACTGTGCCACTAAATGTAAAAGACTGATCACAAACCTCATGTAATGGGATGCATGTGCTTAAGACCTCATTTTGGCCATGTGCAACTATGTCTGATCTCTATTAGCTATTCTTCTTATTTTATCAGTAGTGACAGGTGATATTAACTTCATTTGTTAGAGAGAATGGAGCAGTGATGCTTTAGGTGTCTCAGTGATGATAGATCCACCTTAAATGATGTTTTTGTCAGATACATTTGTGTACAAGTCATTGTGTGTCCAGGAGCCCAAACAATGTCCCAACAAGTTCCTGCATAATGATTGAGTGTTTTCGCAAAGCAGGAGTGTCACCTGAGGACATTCAGTGATATCGGTGGCATTACAAAATCAGGAGACAGACTTCTAGAGTGGGTGACAGAAACACTTTGTATGGCCATTAATGATTCCTGGCACTGTTATATTGATCTTGGGGAGTGATGAGCTCCTCGTCGTGTTCAGCCATCAGATTTTTCATCTGCTCATCTGATCACCACCTTGTCAGTCCTTGCACTAAAACATATGGAGCTTTACCTCAGCTGAGAGAACATGTGGAAGTGGAGCTCATGAATATAGATTACGTGTCTAGTCTTTTACTTTATTTTATTTTCAGTGTATTTCTTTAAAGGTCACGGTAAAATGTTGCCATTGCACACCGGGGCTTTAAAGAATCTAACATGTGACATGAAAATCTCTCCTTAGCTCCCAGGAAAGAAGTACGCTGAAGGTTATAATGAAGACGTCGGGGACAAAGGCATCTGGCTGAAGTGAGAAACGCTGTTGTCGCTGGAGGGAAGGACATCTGAAAGACAGATTCCTTGTGGTATTTCAGCTGTTCGTCCATGTCTTGTGGGGAAAGATATATTCTGCTCTTATACAGCTGAAGATATCATTGTACATTGCTATTCAAATATTTATTGTATATGTTCAACTCGTTTCCTTTCACTTTGAGGCATTATTGTTCTTGGATGGGATCTTGTTGAGGTCAAATTAAACTCTGGTTGCAAAGTCATGGTCCCGTGAGGCCCCTGGGCACATCTTTTTTTATACATTTTTTTTTTTAATCAACTTTAGTCAGAGCAGAGGACCTTAATCCAGCCATGACTGACTATTCAAACTAGATGTGAGACTACAGCTCTGTCTTGCAGGTCTTGTAATAAATCACTAAAATTGTTAAATTTAAATCGGAAAAGTTAAAACGGTGCAACAAATGTGACATCTAACTAAGGAAGTATTCTGTAAGGACAAACAAAAACATCTGCCCACCAATATTTTGTTTCATTGCGGTGAGACGGTGACTAAACACCCCAATTAAAATACCTTTTTTTTTTTGAGAGAGAGAAATGGCACAATGCGAACTGACCACAGCCTTTTTCCCCATTCATTAGGGTGGAGGACAAGCAAAGAATAGCCAACATGACCTGCATCCCCAGATATCTTCCAGAAGTCACAGTCGGTGCTCATGAGTTTGATGCTGCCTACTATGCTTTCAAATCGGTATGTGCCCTCCACTGAAACTGTGCCACTAAATGTAAAAGACTGATCACAAACCTCATGTAATGGGATGCATGTGCTTAAGACCTCATTTTGGCCATGTGCAACTATGTCTGATCTCTATTAGCTATTCTTCTTATTTTATCAGTAGTGACAGGTGATATTAACTTCATTTGTTAGAGAGAATGGAGCAGTGATGCTATTTTGACAGCGCTCTTTTAAATACATAAATATTTCATACCCATAGATCCTCCCACAGCTGTTATTATATGTGCATTTTTGGTAGATGCTGCAGTGCAGGTCTAGTAATGACTTGGCAAGGCAAATAGGGCTCTGAATTTAAATTTAAAGTGGTTAGAAAAGTGCACAACATTTGTAAAGTGCTACATTTGAATTAAACTACATTAATGCATTTTCAAAAAGGGTTTAAGAGGCTGATTTCAAACGGTTAATTGCAGTGAAGTTGCTGGATCTGCTTTGGATGAAGAGCTATGAGTTGTCAGTTATTGGTGGTGTTATCAGGCAGCTTGGAGGGGTGGTCTGCTAAATGAGAAGGATGGAAAGATAAATAAAGCTATTGTAGCAGTGCTGACAGACAGTGGACACACAGTAATGGCCTGAAGCAACATGAATGGATGTAAAATTAACTCTGAATAACATCAATGACAAAGCAAAATAAACAGAACCTGGGAGATGTTGGTTACTGCTTTGACTTCTGATTATATTCTACATCAGTTTACATTAGTTTTCTCAGAGTGTATGATGTTACGATTCAAAAGTTTGGAGTCAGTAAGATTTTATGAAAAAAAAAAAAAATTCACCAAGGATGCATTAAATTGATCAAAAGTGATAGAAATATATTGTAACATAAATGTCTTTACTATTTAAAAAATAAATGCTGTTCTTTTCAACATCCTATTCATCAATGAATCCTGAAAAAACTGTACAACTGTTTTCAACTTTGATAATAAGAAATTTTCTTGAGCAGCAAATCATATATTTTCAGGATCGTGTGACACTGAAGACTGGAGTAACAATGCTGAAAATTCAGCTTTGCCATCATAAGAATATATTACATTTTAAAATATATTAAAATAATAAAAAATATTTATTGCAATATTTCCCAATATGACTGTTTTTACTGTATTTTTGAGAATAACATCTTACAGACCCCAAACTTGAACAGTAGAGCGTGAAGGTAAAACCAATGATTTCTCACTGGCATTACAATAAATGTAATGCTGAATCAATACATTATTCCGAATATCTGATATTATTTAACCTTGACATTGACTATAAACCATTCCCGTAAAACATGACACAAGCAATATTATGTTTTAAAATACTCTTAAGAAGTAAGGAAGAGCCCAAGGTCACATTTATTTACATTCATCCAGCAATTCTTTATCCTTATCCAAATGTTCTCAGTGTAATTACATTGTTTGATAGTATGAATTTGCTGTAAGATATGATATTAGCCCATCTCTGGCTCAGATCTGCCACACCTGAAAGGTTTTACCGTTTATGTTGTTAACCTTGTCAATTTGGCGTTTCAAATTTGTCAATATAACCACCAGAGGGCGCTGTACATAGTTGGACTGTTTATCTTGCTTTGTGTTTGCCACTAGCCCTGTTAATATGAACAATTCACCCAAAACGAAGGTTCTGTCATCATTTATTAACCTCCATGTCGTGCCAAACATGTAGCCTATGATTTTCTTTCTACTGTGGAACACAAAAGGAGGCAACCTCGCTTACAATTCACTTTTATTGTGTGGAAAAAGATGCCGGCAAGTGAATGGCGACTGAGGCTGTCAGTTCCCATTCTGCCTAACATCTGTTGTATTTCACAGAAAACATGCAAGCAATATTATGTTTTAAAATACTCTTAAGAAGTAAGGAAGAGCCCAAGGTCACATTTATTTACATTCATCCAGCAATTCTTTATCCTTATCCAAATGTTCTCAGTGTAATTACATTGTTTGATAGTATGAATTTGCTGTAAGATATGATATTAGCCCATCTCTGGCTCAGATCTGCCACACCTGAAAGGTCAAGACCTTTTGTGTGTCTCTAAAGAGAAGCTTTCACACTGTTTGAAAACCTGGGGCCACAATTTCACAGTCAGACCATCACGAGTGGTTCTCCTTTTGACAACTGAGTTTTGCCTCATGCAACTTCAATCATATTTCACATTGTTTTAAATGAATCATTAACATGCGAGGAGAAAAAATGATTTGCTGGCTTTGATTACTCATGTACTCTTGTCAAAGTGATCATGGGTTATTTTTGAGTTTCTGTCAATCTGAGAAAAAAATGAGAACATTTAATTTTATGATGTATTAATGAAAGTATTTTTAAACATGTATCTACCAGACAGGTGTAGAATCTGTATGCTGCCACAGTATTTAATGAACGTTTAGAGAAATTGTGACTTCATTGAGTCCTAGATACATTTTTATGCTCCTGCAAGAATAGTAAATCCACAGTTTCTGTGAGGGTTGAGCTAGTTCAGTATAAAAAAAAACAATAAATATCAAAGGAGTACCTATAATGATTTTTTTTTTTTT